AGCCCCAGGGACGGAGGCGGGCCCACGGGGCCTGGACATGGGCAGCAGGCATGACTGGGGCCCAGCTGCCCCTGACGGAGCCCCCCGTGTGCCCAGACCTGCGGTCCCGGCAGCCGGCCGTGGAGCACGAGAGCCGGGCACGAGCAGATGAGACCGAACAGACTCCCTACCGCAAAGCCAGTCCAAACGACCCAACCGCTTTGTCCTCTGCAGGTTCCGCTGTAAAAGAGGGGTGCGGACGGCCTGTTCCTCGTGCAAGCTGGGGAGTCGTGCCCAGGCCACACGGCTCGCCCTGACCAGGGCCCCTCCTTGCTCAGTGCCCGTGCCCTAGTCACGCCGGGCTCTTCTGTCCGGTAGGTGCTCTGCAGACGTGGGCAGAGTCCTCCCTCCCCCCTCGGCTGGCTCTCCACCTGTAAGGATTCACCCCAACTTCTCATCGGAGTGCAAGGCGCAGCGAGGCTGGCCTCCGGCAGGCAGGGTCTGCCCCAGCAGCCCCCACCTCGCTTCATGGACCGACCATCCACCCCTTCACAGCAGGTTTCCAGGAGGGCATAGAAGAAACTTAAGAGCTGCCTTAACCAACAAACTAAGTTTTGTTTTTTTCTAATTAACAATAGGACATTTTCTGGTTTTTTTTAATTCAGAAACTTTTTTTTTTTTATGTTTTGTGTATTTTTTTTTTATTTTTTTTTTCAACGTTTATTTATTTTTGGGACAGAGAGAGACAGAGCATGAACAGGGGAGGGGCAGAGAGAGAGGGAAGACACAGAATCGGAAACAGGCTCCAGGCTCTGAGCCATCAGCCCAGAGCCCCAGGCTCGAACTCACGGACCGCGAGATCGTGACCTGGCTCAAGTCGGACGCTTAACCGACTGCGCCACCCAGGCGCCCCTAATGTTTTGTGTATTTTTGACATTGAGAATGCGAGCTGGGGTGGGACTGAGAGTGAGGGGGACACAGGACCCAAAGTGGGCTCTGGGCTGAAAGCAGAGAGCTCCACGTGGGGCTCGAACTCATGAACCGGGAGATCATGACCTGAGGCGAAGTCAGACGCTTAACCGACTGAGCCACCCAGGCGCCCCACCATTAGACGTTGTCTAATTTCAAGTTTTTTAATGCAGTTTGAGAAACGGGTATCCAAATGAGCACAGGAAAAACGCCATACAGCTGTTCACAGCCACCCAGAGTGGCCCCTGCAGGTCTGTGTTCCTTCCTGTGACACATACATATGCGCTGACACCCACACGTGCACGCAGGTGTCCATGCGTGTGGGAGCGCAGCATCACGTGCATGGTGAGCACACGTTATGCACACTGGTGCACGCGCACACGCGTGTACACCGTGCCACACGTGCACCCACACGTTCCACGCACGCACGAGTGCATCCACCGCACACACGTGTACACAGCGCACACCGCCTCTCACACGTGCTTACTGCACACGTGCACGCGTACGCACACACGCCCTTCCACGGCACGCGCGCCCAGGGCTAGGGCCCTTCGGGAGGGAGAGGAGGGGAGCATCGGGTTTAAATCTCCAAGCCCCTAGCGAGCAGCGGCCCGCTCCGGGCCTCGAACCTGAGACCCACGAATTGCGCGCAGCGCTCACGGAGCATGCGCGAAGTCGCGCAGAACGGACTCCGGGCATGCGCAGACCGCGCCCCGAGCGCCCCGCCCTCCCAACACCCACAGTTCCAAGCGCAGGGCCGTGTCCGGAAGTCCGTGGAGCGGATCTTCGTTCCTCGTCCTCTGATTCGCTTCAAACCACTTCCATTTCCGCAGGAAGTGCCGACTCTCTGGCCCACAGTCCGAGGGACGCGTCGCTTAGGAAATGAGCGCCGGCCCTGTTTTGTTTCCGGGGGAATCTGGTTTTCTGGAGGACGCTCGGGACTTCCGCGCGTCCCTCCCAGCCTCTGATTGGCTGGTTTCATGAATATATTAGGGAAGGGGGAGGCAAGTTTTTCCACGCGCGGCAGCGCCTGTGGGGATTTGAGCGGCAAGGTGTGAACACTGGTGGCTCCGCGATGAGGGCAGGCGCCTCCGCCGGCGTGTCTGCGCGGGGCGCGCCGCGTCGAGTCGCCCTGAGCGAAAGGTGGCCTAGGCAGAGGCCTTTAAATGCCGCGCGGACAGGGGTAGAGTCGTGTTGTATGAAAGGAGAGAAGGTTAGCACTCCCCTTGACAAGGATGGAAGAGGCCCTCGGGCCTGACAACACGCATACGGTTAAGGCATTGCCACCTACTTCGTGGCATCTAACCAACGTTTTTGGGGGGAGACCTGGGGCGGGGGCTCCTCCGCCGGGTGCCGGGGCCGCAGAGCCCAAGACTTTGCTCTCCCCTGGCGTGTACTGTGCTCCCTGCGGCACCCCCGCCACCGTCCGCGGGTCGGTGTCGCCCAGTACCCCCCGCCCAAGGCCGTCCTGAGCCCCTGCCCGCCAACCTGCCGGCGGAGCGCTCCGTTATCAGGACAAGGGGTGTGACCCTGACTTAGGCCGCCTCGAAGCCTCGCCCCGCGACGACGCGCCTCTGGTCCACAGAGACCCGCACCTGCCCCGAGGGCCGTTACCCCGTTTGCCAGTCTTGAATCCCCCCGCACACTGATCTCGGCATCCTGGCCCCTGGGCAGGTGTGCCGAGCTCTCTGCACCGCCCGTGACGTCCCACCGCTTTCCTCGCCGAGGGAAGTAAATCCTTTGGCAAGTGGGCATTTCATTTGTAGGAGTCGAGCTGTTTCTATCCCCACCACAGGTCGGGCTGGGTGTGAAGCTTGGGGTCTCCTCCTGGGGTCTCAGCAGCCCCCGGCTGTACCTCTCTCCCTTGCGTGGGCCGTGACGCAGCAGTGGACGGCACCACGGGCCGGCCCTTCGGCGACGGTGCCTGCCTTCCCTCTGCAGAATCCGGTCCCGGGCCGCTGCGAGCCCTTCCTGAGCCCCCACACCCGCAGTCACGCACGTGCGGGGCGAAGGCATCGCAGGACGTACCGCGACGTCGTGCACACGCTTTGGGAGAACTTAAGATTCCCAGGGACGGAAATCCCCAGAAAGGCCACCTGAAGTGTAGAGAGGGCGTCCCCCCTTCATGTCCAGGGCACAAAGTGCTCTGTAAGCTCCACGGTGCAGGGCTCGCATAACGACCCAGGAACGTGTTTATCGACTTAAATAAAACCAACCCGACCCACAATTCCACTGCTAACACTGCAAAGAGGGGCGCCTGGGGGGCTCCGTCGGTTAAGCGTCTGATTTGGGCTCATGCTCTCACGGTTCATGGATTGGAGGCCCGCATCGGTCTCTGTGCTGACAGCTCAGAGCCTGGAGCCTGCTTCGGATTCAGTTCTGCTTTGGGTTCCCTCTCTCTCTGCCCCTCCCCCGCTCATGGGCGCGCGCATTCTCTCTCTCTCTCCCTCCCTCCCAAATAAATATTTTTTAAAGATGCAAACAGCACCATCCAGCTCGCATTACCTACCAACAGTGGGGGGGAAATGGTCAGCCTCTGCTCTCAGGGCACCGGCGTCAGAAGCTGCAAACGCGGACCCGGGAGCCCATAGGACACATGACTGTTTCCAGGTCCGAGGTGACGAGCAAGCAGCAGCCTTCAACCAACCAGGGCAGGCGGGGTCTTGCTGGGGCCCTGGTTCACACCAGCCAGCCGTGGAGCACGTGTTCGCGGGGCCCCGAGCGCCCTGCCCTCCCAACACCCACAGTTCCATGCGCAGGACATGCACACAAGTGTGTGAACACGTGCGTGCCACATGCGTGCGAACGTGTATTTGTGCACCTGTACACACGAATCTGCATGCGCGTGAGCATGTGCGCGTGCGGCACGCGTGTGGACACGTGTGCACACCTGTACACATGAAGTGCATGTGTGCGCATGTTCGGGTGCGCCTACATACACGTGAACGTGCACACACGTGTGTACGTACACGCTGAGCTTTTGAGACAAGCGTGGAAAGCTGGACACCCGATACTTAAGAATTCGCATTTGAGGGGCGCCTGGGCGGCTCCGTGAAGCATCCAGCTCTGGGTTTCAGCTCAGGGTCGTGATCTCAGTTCACGGGCTCAAGCTCCGCGTCGGGCTGGGCTGGGTGCTGGCAGCGCAGAGTCGGCTTAGAGTTCTCTCTTCCTCTCTGCCCCTCACGTGCTCACGCACGCACCCTCTTTTACGTGTGAAAAGGGTTCTGAGCCAAAGCTTCTGGAGAATTCCCTTTTACAGACACTGATTCACTGCCTAAGTCACCAAATGTCCGGGATTAATAAAACCACTCGGGAGGGACACAAGAAACGAGACGTGTCAAAAGCTGGAGTCGAACGGCCCAGGCTGGCGCAGCTGGAGGAGGATTTGACGCTTGATCTTGGGGTCGTGAGTTCAAGCCCCATGTTGGGCGTAGAGCTTGCTTCAAAAAAGAAAGTTGAAAAGATAAAGCCAGGAAGACGTTCTCTACATTTACACATGCCTGAAATGATCCCCAACAAAGTCTTACTTTTAACGAACATACCAGAAGATAATCCCCCAAAGCGTTAGTGGTAGCAGCAATCCGGGTGGTTTATTTTCTTCTCCTATTTGTTTTACACTGTCCGTAACGAGCACAAATGGTTAACTTTTTTTTTTTTTTGTAATGTTTTTATTTTTGACGGAGAGCGAGAGAGAGAGAGAGAGAGAGGGAGAGAGCAAGCATGAGCGGGGGAGGAGCAGAGAGAGAGAGGGAGACAGAATCCGAAGCAGGCTCCAGGCTCTGAGCTGTCAGCACAGAGCCCAATGTGGGGATCGAACTCACAAAGTGTGAGATCACGACCTGAGCCGAAGTCGGACGCTTCACCGACTGAGCCACCCAGGCGCCCGCACAAATGGTTAACTTTCACAGTAAGAAAAGGTAATTTTTAACAGCTAGGAGCCTTCCTGCAGGGCACGCTGGCCTGAGCAGAAGGGCCATGTCATCCGCCCGCCCCCCCCCCCCCCCCCCCCCCAGCTGCATGGTAAAAAGGTAAAAAAGTCTTCTGGGACAAAGTTACAAGACATGAAAATCTTTATTTTTAAAAGAGAGATGTATCTTTACACAAATCTACAACAGAGAATTCAAACGTAGAAAAAATAAACTATATCCAAGGGCACAGCGCTCCACGTCCACACCCCTCTGCTCCGAGGGCCGAGCTGAGCTGTCACACCAGAACCAACGAGACAGTCCCAAGGTCTCAGGAACGTTGCCGGCACACGCGGCCTCCGCCTTTCCTACCAAAATACGCTGCCAAGTGGGTTTCCCCGGCCCCGGGCGCTGACCGCATTCTACTGCAGTTCACCTCTGCACAGACAGCCCGCTCGCCGTCCGCCTCCGGGGAGAGGACGGGGAGACACAAGGGAGTCCGTCTCCAGATGCCCTTTGCTAGAATTGCCACCCCCGGCTGAGCAACCACGGCCACCGGGGTGGGGCCGGGAAGCCTGTCGAGAGCAGCCCTGTTTCCCCAGCCCAGGACCCGGGGCCCCAGGAAAGGCGGGGCGGGGTGGGGGTGGGGGGCCCGCTGCACGCAGGGGTCCCCGGGCCTGGCAATCCCAGCACCGCTTCCTCACCCCGCTCTCCCCCCCACACCCCTTCAGGGAGCCGCGCCACCGGAGGCTCCCGCCCCCGCACTCGGGCCGCGGGGGTGGGTGGCACCCGGCTCCCCCTGCCGTGCCAGCCCCGGGAACCCCACGAAGCCCTCGGTCCCGAGGTCGGCAGCGGGGAGACGAAGCCCAGCCTGAGCTGAGCCTGGACCCACGGCCTCGGGGCCTCCTACGGCCCAGCCTTCGCGCACACGGCCGCCTGCGACGTTCGACGGGACACTTCAGGGACACCAGCTCCCCTCCAGCTACACGGAATTCCCGGGTTTGCCCCCGGACCCCCTCACACATCCCCGGCCCACACGGGGAGGGGAGCCCTCCTCCGTGGCGCCGGGCTTCCTGGGCGGGGAGGGCGCGGGAACCCTCCACTTCCTGCCATCGGGGAGACTTTCCGCGAAAAGGCCAAGCGCAGACAGGCTTCGCGTGAGAACTCCGTCGCCACGGCTGTGCAGACTCCTACCTTTTATTACAGCTCGCGGGGGCGCGCGGGGGGCACGCGGGGGACACAGGGAGGTACCAGAACAACACCACGCTGTCCGCACGGGAACCACGAACTCCCACACACAAAGGGTTTTACACGGAAAGAATCTTACAGTGTTCTGCGTTTTCCGGAAAGACCGCACACACTGGGCACGACGACAGCAGGAACCGGTGACCGCGGACCGAGTGGCTAGAGCATCTACTGAACAGACAAGGGGGGGCCACGGGGGCGGCTGCTCGCCGCACTTGCACTGGGCAATAAGATACCAGAGAAGGTACAGAACATTTACTGGAAAAAAACACAACTCGTGATAAATTGAACTTCACCCTTCTGTAATAAAAAATTAAAAATTTGTGTTGACTCTGTTTGAACACAATACAGACCAGAAACTTCCCCAGACAGCGTGAGAGGGATCGGCAAGAAATGTCACCAGCAACCTGTAGAACCTTCCGGTGGTAGACACCCCCTCCGCCACGTCGTCCTCAGCGGTGGCTCCATCCAGGCCCCTCCCGACCCCCCAGGCCCGGACGGAGGGGCCCCCTCCAGACACCGCGCTGCTCGCCGACCGGCCGCCTTCCCGCCAGCCCCCGCGGCGCCTAGCAGTCACTCTTCCAGAGCTTAATGGTCTTGTCGTTCTCCAGCGCGGCCGAGGCGATGATGTTCTCCGTCGGGTGGCAGGCCGTGGAGATGACGACGTCTGAAACACAGACCGCCGCTGCCCTGTGCCCCCTGGTGCCGAGACCCGCTCTGCCACCCAGGGTCGCGCCCCCACCGCCCCCGGGGTCCCAGCCGCTGACTGTGCTGCCCCCGCTGGTGACGCCTCGAGGGAGCACGATGGCCGGGTGGGACAGTGGAGAGGCGGCACCACGTGCTAGCGGGCCATCAGGGAGGGCTCCGTGCAGCCTGGCCCACGGCAGCGGTCCCCAGAGGGGACACAGGAGCACCTGCCTCGCTGCATGGACGTGCCCGCTCCCCACCCCCCCCCCCCCACCACTGCTGAGCACGGCACACTCCACCTCCACCAGGAAGCCCCCCACCTCCGTGTGCTGGCACCTGGGCTAATTCCAGAACCTTCCCTCTTCCCGTGTAGCTTCAAAGGGGCCTGAGTGTCCCGGCCACACCAGGAGCCAGGAACGACCGAGGCCCGGGGCTGCTCCCGAGGAGCTGGCCGTGAGGGCAGAACACACAAAATCATAGCTGGACTTTAGGTCTGAGCTGTGTCCCCAGTGGGTGGAGGTGACTTTAAGGGACCAGAATAGAGCACTTGTGCCAAATTTTCAAAGGATTTGACAATCACCCTCCCTCGGAGGGCAGGGCGACCAGCACAAGTGGCCCCTCACAGCCTAGAGGCGTGCGGAGCAGGCCCACGGGGAGACAGCGGGTCGGCGCCGGAAGGAACCGGAGCCTCTAGACCACAGCAGATGTCCCTTGGCCTGCGCTAGTCTTGACGCGGGACAAAAGCACGGGCCCCGTCCACACCGGAAGCCACGGAGCCCGCACGGACTTTGAGGACAAGCGCCAGAAGACGGCCACGAAGAGAGGTTCGAGTTGAGCCTGGCCTTGGCCACATGGAAGCTGGGACAAAGCCCCCTGCCGACTGCTCACGGACCAGTGGCGTCCCCCAGGCCACCAGAGGGCGAGGAAAAACCAGAGCAGCAGGCGGCACAGCACCACACTCTGGCGTCCCAGAAGCCGTCCCTGCGCACACACAGCCTGCACACATCCTCGAGCTCACCTGTGTGGCCCTGTAGTTTCTGTACAATCTCCTTGGTCTGCAGGTTCCAAATGTACACCAGGTTGTCCTCGGAACCAGACACGATCCACTAGAACCGAAGACGGGTGAGAAAGACCCAGGTCAGAGCCGGCTCGCGTGGAACCCACTTCGCCTGGAGGTCCACGCGCTCCGCCCCCGCCCGCACACGGTCTCGAGGCCCCGCTGGGCCGTCGGAGGCTCCTGAGACCTAAAGCATGTTCTCAAATCACCACCCCTCCGGGTCACACCCATCTCTGCCCAACGCCACCCCCCCACCCTCGCTCCAGTCACACGCCAAGCGGCGAGCGCGAGCGGGGCCCTGGGCTGGGCAGGAGGCAGCGCGGCCAGTTGGGACCCGGCACCGGAGCCCAGGCCCCGAGCAGCAAAGCGCTTACGGGAACCGTCGCCCTGGGGACGCTCTGCCTCCGTGAGACCCGGGAGCAGACGAGCAAAGCCGTCTGTCACGGAGGCACCTGCTTCGCTCCGTGGGCGCAGGAGAGCGTCTGTGGCTACGTAAGCCAAGCTGTGACAGGGTCACCTCTCAGGACAGCTGGGGAGAGTGAGAAGCTCCTTCACTGGGGGAAAACTCACCTTCCCACCAGTGACGGAGAAATTTGCAAAAATGCAGTATTTCTCATTCTTGTGGCCGGTGTAGGTCTTCAGGCACTGAGAAGGTAAGAGAGCCAGTATGTTCACCAAGTCAACAACTCCCTGCACTCGGGACAATGCCCGCGTGAGCAGCGCAGGCGTCTCGGCCGACAAACCTTAGCTCTGAAAAGCACTCCAGGGACACGGTGCAAAGCCACGCGGCTGAAGCTTTAACTTACAGACTCGCCACCTGCTAAATCCCGAGTCTGAGAAACGTGCCCCAGGCCAACCCGATGGTCGCTTTCCCGAGCCCCTCTCGCTTCAGACCCTGGCTCAGCTCTGCCACCGGCCAAAGCCACAGCCCAGACCCTGCGAACCCGCCCCCAGTGCTCACCTTCCCTTTGCTGTAGTCCCAGAGCTTCAGCGTGCTGAAAGGCAGAGAGGGGGGCAGTCACCTGCATGTCCGCGGGGGCCCCCCGAGCGGGGCCAGGTCTGTTGGCACCGTGCATCCCCACGGCCTCATGTGCAGGGCAAAGCCAGGGGCCGGGCCCCTCACCCTCCGCAAGTGCGGGCGCCCAGCACAGCAGGCACACGGCCAGTGGTTTGAGGATTTCACAGTGAAAGAGCCCCACGCGTTTACGGTTCAAAGAACTACAAGGTTCTGTCACCAAACAGAGGCTGCCAGGGGCTCCCGGGGTCAGTATGTGGCTCGTTCCCACTACAAGAGGGATGTGGAGAACTTGGGTTCCAGAAACATCCAGAACCAGATTTTAGTGGCTGCAAAAAATCCCCTCCTCCCCAGGCAGGAATTCACTCTTCCCAAGGGTGCTGATGAGAAGTGCTGACCACGGGTCCTCCTGGGGACAAGGCGTGGCCCCCAGAGGGCTGCCCAAGTACACACAAGCAGCCAGAGTCTGACGGCCCGCCCACAGGGGGCGACACCTGCCCCGGAGTTTGTGGGGTGCCGCCCAAGTGCTCACGGGCAGAGCCAGAGTCACCGGACGAACGTGGACCCCCAACCCTTCTTCAGACCAGCCGGAGACCCAGCCGCCAGCAGAGACGGGGTCCCAGGTTGAAGAACGCAAGGACCTTTACTGGATGTAGACATCCTCTATCTTTCCGAGGTACCTCTGGCAGGAAACGCATCCCGGGCCCACCCCACGGGGAGGTCGGAACACTTACTTGTCCAGGGTCGCAGCCAGGATGTACTTGCCGTTTGGAGAGAACTTCACAAAAGACACAGGTGGGTTGTCGTCATCTGCATGGAAAACGCAGACGCAGGCTGATGCGCGAGCGATGGGCCTGAGCCCCGAGGAGGAAAGGGGAACGGCACCCCCGTCACCACACAGGACCATCCAAGTGGGGACACGGCCACCAGTGCCCACGCCACCACCCGGAACGGGTCCCCGAGGAACCCAGGACACTCCCGTCACCCGACCCTGTGCCGGTCACAATGGCCGGTTCTCCTTGGGTCCCTGATGGGGCCCAACTACCCCTTTGCCACCAGGGCTCGAAGAGCAAAGGGCCTGTGGCAAACGCCACAAAGGGATGCCCGGCCTTCCACCAACACGGGGCCGCTAAGCAGACCCAGGGTCAACTTCCTTACGTGCAGCAAGGTCTGTAAAGGCCCCGCTGACCTGGGCAAGTGTTACCACTGAGGGGAAAGGACGCAGGCGAATCAGCTCAGGTGTTTCCTGCCGCCTAGTCAGGGCAAAGGACCTGCCAATTCTCCAAAAACCACCTTCTGGCAGGAGACCCACGTCCTTGCTTCTGTACCCAGGTCTGAAAGCTCATGCCCGGCAGCCTGGGAAGCTGGGTAAGAGCCGCCGTCAGGGGCCGCCAAGGACAAGGCCAGCACTTGCGGCCGCATGACGGCCCTGTGACCCTCACATCGGGAGGCGTGCGTCCCCCCTCCCAGGTGAGAGGGACGGAACCGGGGCCATGCACCCTGGTGCCGGAACGGGGGGAGTGGTGCGAGCGTTACCACCTCGAGGGACCTGGCCCCCGGGCACTGGGGGCCGCTGCTCCCTGCGACAGCTCCCAAACACTGCAAAAGCACAGAAGGAGGTGTGAGGCCACACAGGGCCGTCCTGGGTCCCAGGGGCCACAGCAGGAAGGCAGGCCCCGTAATGCAGACGAGGGGTGGTCGTACCAGGCTCTCTAACCCGGAAAGCTCTAATTCCTGAGACCCGGTGTCAGGAACGGGGTGGGACAGGGCGACGCGCCGCCCCCTCCCTCGCGGTGGGTGCTGCGGAGCTCAAGGCCCGGCGCTGGCACCCGCCTGCTGCCGGTTGGCCGGCTAGGCTCTCCAGGCCTCCGCTTCCCGCCTGCCTGTGGGGTGGAGCGCCCTGGGGGTCACGCTAACAGAAGGACACTTGACACGGGCAAGTGCCAGGCAGCCTCAGAGGTGCAAACGGTGGCGCCGTCCCGCCAGGCCTCTGGGGACAGACGCTGTGGACTCAGCGTGATGTCATATCCGAAAGGCGGCCTCGTAAACCAAAAGAAACAGCAGAACGGTTCCCATCCCGAAATTCCCACGGTGAAGTCCTGACCCTTGCAGGTCAGCCGATGGGGCCCTGTGTGCAGACCGGGCCCTGCAAAGGGGGGACGAAGCTAAAGGGAGGCTGGTGCGGGGGACCCTGAGCCAGTCGGACTAGCATCTGGACGACAAAAGAGGACCGGACACAGGGATGTACACGTAGGGAGGGCCCCGTGAAGACACAGCAGGAAGGTCGAGGAGAGGCCGCGGGAGACACCAGGCCTGTTGGCGCCCAGATCTCGGATTCTAGCACCGGGACGCAGGCAGGAGTTTCTGCTAAGCCGCCCAGCCCGGGGTGCTGTGCTACGCTGGCCGGGGCTGATGCGTCATCACGCCACGTGCGTTCCCGTGACAGCCCAGGGAAGGGTGCCAAGCTGAGGACACGGCACCCCCCGGGTGGGCGGTGGGCCGGTCCCCTCCCCCGGGGCCCCCCAAGTCCCCCCGCAGCACAGAACTCGGTAGTACCTACTCTACCTCACGCTCGAACCTGGAGCCGCGGGGACCCTCCGGGCTGACCCCAGGCGACCTACCGCCTCAGAACCCTCCCAGGACGCCCTCCCCATCACCTTCGGAGGTCTGGGGCCCTGCAGGGGCCCAGCACCCACCCTCCAGCCACTCATACACCCCGCCTGGTGGCACCACCTGTCTTCCCAGTCTGCTACTCCCCCGGCCGCCAGCGGACGGGGCGCACTTCAGGGCTGGGGCTCGGTCACGTGCGCTCAAGGAACAATCGAGGACAAACCCCCACGCGGGGTCTGCCGAGCGAAGGCGGAGGGTCCAAGGGGCTCCGAGGGCCTTCAGAGAACACGGCACGGGGCCCAGCCCGGAGAGGGGACTTCGCGGGGCCAGAGGCCATCCAGAAGGAGCTGGCAGGAGCTGGAATCCATCCGCAGAGGAGGACCCCGCCCAGAGGGAGCAGATCCAGGACAGAGGAGAGAGAGGGCCTCCCGAAGACCACACAAGACGGAGGACGGAGGACAGCGAGGTGCCCTCCGCGGCTGGCCGGGCGACCGCCACTCGGGGGACACCCAGCCTGGACGCAACGCCAGCAGCACTCACCGATCAGGGTCTTCAGGCACTGGCCCGAGGCGGTGTCCCAGATGCGGCTGCAACACAGAAACGGCAGCAAGTCTGTACACACACATCACGAGCAGCCCGACGCGCTCTGGGTCCTGAGCAAACGTCGGTCTGGGGACGGACACCACGAGTCGCGGTTCGGTTTGCTTAACTCTTCCGCGCCATCGTCCCTCACCCTGGGGCCACCATGGGCGCCCCACAACAGGCGTGTGCACTTGCTCTGCCACCGGCAGCCGGGTCGCCAGCACACGGGGGACATGGGGAGCAGAGGCCGCGGCACAGGGTGCCAGGAGCCTGACCCGTTTTCTGGCACCAACGTCCCAAGTCGCCCAGGAGAGGGCTTGGTTTTCACAGAAAAAGACTAGTGCAGGGGATTCTCTGGACACCCTCTAGTTCAGAAGGGCGCGCAGAGAGCCGCTACCCCAGAATGGACGAGCCAGCTCTAGCAAGCATGTTATTTCCGCCCACACCAGCACCCCACCTTCCGCGGCAGGTGCCCGTGTATCAGCGCCTGCCCCTCCAGGGCACGGATGCCCAGCAGTGAGGCCACCAGCTCACAGGGGACACGTTACTTTGCCAAGTCCTCTCCCACCTTCCCGCCCCTGCCGACGTGCCCTCCTGTCTGGGACGGCACCCCGCATCACTGGCTGCCGGGAACTGGGCGGGGGGGGGGGCAGTGGGTGGCAGCAAGTTGGCTCCCGCGACCCGCTCTGCTTGTCCCATCAGGTCCCTCCTCTGGGCGAGACGCCCCGCACTGGGCTCTGCGGGTCCCAGCTGCCACCTCCCCACCTACGCTGGGGGACAACCATCGAGTGTTCGGTCTGACTCTGCTCCCCAACTGCCGAGCGGGGGTGGCGGGGTCCCGGGTCAAGGCAGCCGTGAGGGCCACGGTCAGTACCGGTCAAGTGCCAGGTCAGTGGCCCTTAAATTTTGAAAACAAGTAGATCATCCACCAAGAGCTGAGCCTCCATCCGCCTCTCCCACGGCTACTTTTACTTTCCCGGCCGCTCACCAGGAACCCCAAACACTGAGCGAGAGGCGAACGGGCCAGTTCTGCGGCTGATTTTCCTAGAGACGGTTTCTGTGTGTTACCACTTCTCGTAAATATCGTAAAGTTTCCAGTAAGAGGGTGCCACACAGGCCTCCTTGCTAGAGTCGTACCCGGGGATGGTTGCCAGATCCTAGCAGGGGCCCGTGTGGCCTCCACCAGTAACAAACCACGGAGATTGCCTCTACTTTGTGGAGACGTTAAGCAGATTACGGACTTTTCTGGCGCCGATCACGTTACCACGACCTCTCACTGTTCAATAAACCCACGTGGTTGTGGGTCACTATCTTCCAACGGGCTGCTGGGCTCAGCTTGCGGTTTCTTTGGAATTCTGACATCGATATTCCGCCGCGAAGCGTCCTCCGTGGATTTCTCTCTGGACTAGCTACACGGCCTGGAGAGGAGGAGCAGGCCGGACCCACCACATGCGTCACATCGGGGCCCCCGTCCTGCTCTGTGGTCCCAACATGCTCATGGCCTCGGAGGTCGGCCGACTGAGCGGGACTCCCCGGCCCCAGACCACGTGTAGGCCTTCCTGGGCCAACTCAGAACCCGGAGCTACCCAAACGCGCGGCTCAGGGCGGACGCGCGGTCTCCTCCTCCTGTCCCCCGGACCCGCCACATCTGCGCCCCGCGTTCTGTTTTCACCCCACTTATTCACCATTTCCTCACTGGAGCTTCTAGGGGTTAATACCTACGTCTTCATTTTTTCCACCGCTTTTCCCCTTTCTCCGTCTGTGTACAAATTTCTTCTTCCCTTTTTTGGGGGGGGACGTGGGGGGTGGGCGTAGCCTCTTCTAACTTCTTCAGGAAGCTCTCGGAGCCAGTCTGCAGGTGGCCCAGAGACTGTCCCGAGCTCGCAAACACACAGCCGCGGCATCGCTCACGCCCACCGGGCCACACACGTTCTTCTAAAGAGCGACACGGCCCGTCGGGTGGTCGCCGCAGCCCGAGGCCCCGCGTGCACTGTGAGCACAGGCCTCTCCCTTCGGCGGCGCCTGGCTCACTCCACGATGTTCTTTCGTCCCACTGACACAGACGTCGCTCTACTCTGCGCCTGTCGACGCTGTCTGCCCGCCCCTGTTTCAAACCTGGTCTTACTATTCTGTTCTAATGAAACGGGGGGAGGCGGGGGGGTGGGGCGCCTGGACGCCTCAGTTGGTCAGTGTCCGACTCTTCATATCGGCTCAGGTCATGATCTCACGGTTCGTGAATTCAAACCCTGGGCCGGCTCTGTGTTGCCAGGGCAGAGCCGGGCCCGGGATCCTCTCTCTCCCTCTCTCTGCCCCTCCTCTACTCTGTCTCTCTAAATAAACTTAAAGGAGGGGGCTCCTGGGTAGCTCAGTCGGTTAAGCGTCTGACTTCAGCTCAGGTCACGATCTCGCGGTCCGTGATTTCGGGCCCCGCGTCGGGCTCTGGGCTGATAGCTCAGAGCCTGGAGCCTGTTTCAGATTCTGTGTCTCCCTCTCTCTGACCCTCCCCCGTTCATGCTCTGTCTCTCTCTGTCTCAAAAATAAGTAAACGTTAAAAAAAATAATAAAATAAAATTAAATAAATAAATAAACTTAAAGGAAAAAAGAAGGCACACGACTTTAAAAAAGAGAGAACGAGGGGCGCCTGGGTGGCGCAGTCGGTTGAGCGTCCGACTTCAGCCAGGTCAC